CACATGACAGGAACGAATGGAGACATTACTGGGCCCGCTCGAGCAAATTGAAGAACAACAGGGTGATAGTGATAGTGATATATAAAAGGACACAAGGCTCAACCTTTAAGGACATGTTAGTGATCTCTTATAGAAGGGCTTAATGCCCCCTGGGTGAAATACAACAATCTTCACACTTTTTTCCTCTAAGGATACTTTTTGTAGCAGTGAGTTTTTCATAACAAACAAGAAAAAATATATTATTTGGGTTCTGCTTTGGGGCAGTGATTGGGGTTCGGGACGAAAACATCCGAAATATGGTGTTGGGAAGGTGTAATGGTGGTGGGATTGATGTTTGAATATTAAATGTAATCAAATATTGTGAACTGCTTTATATAAAAAAAGTTTTTTAAAAGCATTTTAAGGGACTAGAGAGATAGTACACCCATGAAGGCGCTATCATGGCTGTATATAGTGTGTTCAATCCCAGCACCACATATAGTCCTCTGAGCTCCAGCAGGAGTAATCCCTGGGTGCAGAGTCAGGAATAAGGTCTGTGTACTGCCAAGCGTGGTCCCCAAATCAACCACATAAAAATGTTTAAACAGAGAACCCTGCATTAGGCCAAATCTTCACTGGGGGCTTGATATAAAAGAATTATAGTTTTATTTTATTTTAAAATATAAGGCTGCTTTTCTTTTTTTTTTTTTCTTTTTGGGTCACAGCTGGCGATGCACAGGGGTTATGCCAGGAATTACTACTGGCAGTGGTCGGGGGACCATATGGGATGCTGGGAACCAAACCCAGGTTGGCCTCGTGCAAGGTGAACGCCCTACCCATTGTGCTATCAGTCCAACCCCAAGGCTACTTTATTGGGGACCCCAGGGCCACAGGGCTATGCCGAGTCACGCTTGGCAGACCATGAAGTGCTGGTAATTGAGCCCAGAGCCCTGTGCAGGCTAGGCCTGTGCTCCAACCTTTTGAAACCTCTCTCCAGCCCACAAGTTTGGGTGAAGAAAAGGGGACTTAGCCCAAGACTCCCAACCTCCTCCCCCACACACTGCTTTCCTCCCCCTGTACCTCCCACCCTGAAGTGGTTCCAGGTCAGAGTTCTACTTGAAAGAGAGTAGACTCGTGCCCAGAGATTTGCTCCAAGCCTCTGTCTTCCAGCTTCAGCCCAGTCACTGCTAACCCACCACAGCAAAGTGGCCATAGGCCCAACTGGCCTGGCTTTTTTGTCCTTTGGGTCACAGCTGGCAATACATGCTCAGGTGCTTCTCCTGGCTTGGTACTCAGGAATTACTCCTGGTGGTGTTCAGGGGACCATATGAGTTGCCCGTGATGGAACCCAAGTCAGCCGCATGGAAGGCAAACACCCGACCAGCTGGCTCTGGCCCTTTTTGGGTCACACCCAGCGATGCACAGGGGTTACTCCTGACTCTGCACTCAGGAATTACTCCCGACAGTGCCTGGGGTACCATATGGGATGTTGGGTATCGAACCCGGGTTAGTCATGTGCAATGTAAACACCCTATCTGCTGTGCCATAACTCCAGCCCCAGGCTCGGCATTTTTGACAACAGCTTTATTGAGATATAGTTCAAAAGCCATAAAAGTCACTCTTTTAAAGTGCATTATTCTGCGGCTTGTGGTTAATTCACAATTGTTGCTTGTGCAACAATTCCCTATAATCCTAGACGTTTTCATCACCGTGCCCATGAAGGGAGGTGCTCTAGCCGTGGTCCTGTGTCTCAGCCCTGAGAAGTCACTACACTCCTGTGTCCACTCTTGTCATTTCCTTTCTATGGAATCAAGCAATACGAAACTTTCTTATGCCTGGCTTCTGAAAGAATTTTCAGCCTGCAGAACATTCCTGTCCCTCTGTTCCCTCGTAACGTATGGTACAAGGCAATCATGCGATTTTACAGACTTCATCTGAGGACTGCGGGGCTAACCCTTGTTACAGGGGGAGCTTCATTACTAAGACCTTTGCAGGCCACAGATTTCTCTGAAATTCCCCAAGTCACAGCCAACTAAATGACTGTCTGAGAACAGCCCATCTCCCCCATATGTAACATGTTTTTGATGCCCACAGTCTCCTTTGTGTGAATTTTTCTTTAGGAAGTTGAATTCAGCATGCTCACTTTTTGAGGAGTGGCTTGGGCTTCATCAGCTGTGCTCAGGGCTTCCTCTGGGGTCTGTGCTCAGGGGCCACTCCTGTCAGAGGTTGGGGGACCATCTGCAGTGGTGGGGATCTAACCAGGGTCAGTTGCATGCAAGGCATGTGCCTTTACCCACTCTACTATCTCTCTAGCCCGTGTTGATATTTTAAAAAGCAGCCCTGGGAAGCATTGCTGCAGAGGGGAAACTCACTTCTGACTCAGGTGAGACTCCCTGGGTGGTTTTATGACTCAGTTTCTTATTTCTCATTCAGTATCACTATACAATGATCATACAAATGGCTACTCCACAGGAGGTTTTGACGATTAGAAAGAACAAGTTTCTAGTGTGTGTTTGGATTCTAGGGGCTGCAGAATCGATGGCAGCTGCTAGCCTTGTGCAGGAAGCAACGTGGACTCATGGTCAGAGCAGGACCTGCAGTGCAACTAGACCTGGATGTGGGACTGGCTCTGCCACACCATTTCCTCGCCCGCAAAATGGAGCCAGTGGCAGAACCTGCCTCATCGGGTCATATGATCAATGAGCCCAGACAAGGCAATCAGGACACTAAAAAGAGTCCAACACCATGCTTAGCATTCCCTGTGAAAAAAACCTTCCAAGTGTTTTCAATAACCCCATGAGTTTGATACCAATAGGAAATTAAGTCACAAAGTCAGTGGTTTGCCAAGGTTACCCAGTCAGTAAGTTAATGACAGTGCTGGTAGTTGGCCCCGAGTAGGCTCTTGAATCATATGCCTCACTTTGCTCTTACCTATCCATACGATAGCACAATGCTCAGCCCCATGAAACACCCCCACAATACATGCTCTTGTATTTGCTAAATGATGATGATGATGATGATGATGATGATGATGATGATGATGATTATGATGATGATGACTGCTCTGGCAGCTGTATTGAGTGAAATAATGGCTGGGATGCACCTATCTTTATATCCAGGAATGCTAGAAGCACAGGTCCTAGCATAGAATAAAGGTAAAGGTAAAGGCCCTCCCGTTGATCGTCGATTTGCTCGAGCGGGCCCAGTAACGTCTCCATTGGAGACTTTGTTGTTACTGTGTCTGGCATATCGAATACTCTCGGTAGCTTGCCGGGCTCTCCGAGAGGGGCGGAGGAATCGAACTCAGGTCGGCCATGTTGGCCGCTTGTAAGGCGAACGCCCTACCCGCTGTGCTATCGCTCCAGCATAGAATAAAGACTCAGCAAATATTGATGGATAAACAAACAAGTCTCTCAGACTGACAGACCTATCCATCACAGTGCCCTTTGGGGGACAGCCAGTGCTGATGGAACTGCAGTGGACTGGGCCACATTTGACCCACTTTGCCTTTCTTTTCTCAGGTCACTAAAGGGCCAAGATTCTCATAAACATTTTAATTGTTCTGTTGGGGTTGCTTAATCTCCATTCACTGGCTCCACCTCTGTCCCACCCAGTTCCAGACAACCACACCCATAGTCCTGACCCTCTCCATCTGGCCTAGTAGATTCTAGGCTTTTCCACATACAGGAAGTTTCCTTCTCTATCATGAACAGGATCTATCGTGGTGCTGCCTGTCACTCATGTACCTGCTCCCTGGATGACCCAGACTTCCCAGTTCATTCAGATTCTGTGACTCTGAGTTTCAAAGTTACTGAATTTCTAGTTTCTTCTCCCTGAGTAATCAAGGCGTCCAACTCAAGAAGTTTCTTGCTGCTGCAGGGGACAGGAAAAGAAGCCAGGACTTCCTCCTGATCCATTAGGGAGGGGGAAGGAGGTCCTTGGAAACCTCCCCGAGCCCCTGGACAAACTTGCCCTCAATACCAAAAATCTGAAGCCAGGGTCAACACACACACACACACACACACACACACACACACACACACACACACACACTGCCATGCATTAGGATTTGCTACACAAAGTGCCTGAGTACTCAACAAGTTGTAAGCATATCCAGCCCTCTAGATTAGACTAAGGCACTGTCCTACCAGGAGAACCACACTTGACCTCTTTCCCCAGCAAACAAGAATAGTTGCTTCCTGATTGTGATCCAAGTCAGAAACATAGATATGCATGCCAAGAGTCTTAGAGCTGGCCCACACACCGTGGACAGGGTGGGGGTGAGGGCCAGGAGGAAGAGTTTGATCCTGGGTGAGGCAGAAGGAGCCTCCTGCTACCTGCAGTGTGTGACTCACTTCCAGGTCTCTGCTCCCTCCCACTATCACCTTCTGCCTGTTCCTCCCCCCACACGCAAACCAACTTCCATTTTCCCCTTAACCCTCCCCACTCTTACATACAGTTTTAAGCCTCTATGAATGCAGTCTTCACTCCCTATCTAAAAAAATGTCCTAGCATTTCCTCCTCCCCCACTATATCCATCCCTGGGTTGGGCTTCAGGATCACAGAATTTGTAAAACCTCCTAACTCAAGAACATTTTTAACTTTGACTGCCATCTTGCTCTGGCCCTCTGGCCCAGACCTCTGCTCAGATGCACATCGCAATCATGTTCACATTTTTGTTAAGTCTCTTGCCTGTAGCATTAAGCAATTTGTCAAGTTTTCTGATTACTCAGCTCCTTAAGTCATTCCTAATTTGGGGCTAGACAATTTCTAGCTCTGCCCTTAGGAATAATCTATTAAGCTCTGCAAGCTCAGAAAAATGGAAGAACACAGGGTCCTGGGAAGCATGTCATTTCCAAGTGAATTTGCCTGAGGTCAGTGCTGAGACCTTTTTGCTGGAAACAGCTTCCTGCCAAAGGAAGTGGTGGGGACTGTGTGAGATGGGATAATGCAAGCCTAGAGGATAATGACACCAGTCCTTCCCCTTTCTGGTGTTTTTATGGGGCTCTCACACTACCTACCTGTGCACATGACAGCGGCAAAGACCCAGCACTGCCCGTATCTCACTGGCTGGCATCCTGTGGCGTGCCACTGCTTCAGGATGGCCACGCTGCCCGTCCATTCTGCAGGGTTCGTGCCATCTGAGTAATTCTCACTCCAGTTTCCGTTGAGCACCCCGTTGTCATCATTGCTGTTGATCTGGGGTGAAGTCATATAAAAACATAAGCAGCTCTTTCCTCAACAAACTGGCGCGTGTGCTGCCTTGCGAAGTCCATGGCTCTGAGGCATGGAGGTCACTGATCTCATTTCACTAGTGACCTTCCAGACCCCTGTGGCCAGCTATTCCAACATAAGCTCCCCTAGGAATCATCCTATTTCCACTCATCTCACCACCCTCCCCACTGCCTCCACCTCCCATCCTTTGCAAAGCAAGAACTTGGCTCTGAGGACTTCTAAAAATACTTCCAAGCGAAGGGGACTTGGAAGCAACAATACCATGTACACAAACAGAGCTATGCTTAGCGTTTCCCCAGACTTTGCAATTAACAGAAAGGATGGCTTCCACTCAGCTATTTTAGGGATCAGTTGGGGGGGGGGGAACAGAAAATAAACAAAAAAGCCTTCTAATGGCGATTCAATAAAAAGGAGGTAAAAATCCCCAACAGTTTCCCACATTCTGGCATGAGAGTCATTTGAAATTGCTCTGCCAGAGCCCCTGACCCCTAATTCTTCATTCCCCGCATTAGAGTGTGTGGGTCGAGTTTCCCCTGTGTGGCTTCCTCCCTCCCCGGGGTCAGCCCTAGTGGACAGAGGCAGCCCGGACCTCACCATGGCACACACCACTCTGCTGATGTACACGGGGCTGCCCCTCAAGGCACAGTCGATGGCTGGGTCCAGCTGAAAGTATAGGCTCTTGTCTAGCAGCTCCAGGCAGATGTCTATGATATTCTCTTCAAACTGCATGGGGGAGGCAGAGAGGCGAGCTGCTGTGCTTGGCATATGTGTGTAAAGAACCCAACCATCCTGCCTGGCTCCAGATGGCAAGTGTATGTCTCTGCTGAGCCACTGGAGGGTAATCTGTCTAGTGGCAAAGCCAGGGCAGATGCAGGATCCCCAAGCCTTGGGGTGATCCCACACCCCAGTTTCTGTCTCCATCCAATAAAATCCCTCTTTCTGCATTTCAGACTGTTTGCTGGCCAGGGGTATCACTTAAACGGCTGGAGTGCATGCTTTGCATGGGCAGGGCTTGGGTTAGATGACCAGTCCCTCGTGGTCCCCTGTGCACTGCTTGGAGCAACCCCTGAGTACTGTTGCAGGAGTTCCCTCCAAACACTACTGGTGTGACCTCCCAAACCAAAACAAATAATTAAAATAAATAGATTATTGTGGTTACCAGCTATCTTCTGTTTTTCAAAGGAATCTGGTTAAAAAAGCAATTTTTCCTCCTCTACCCTCAAACCCCACACTCCTGTAATCCTCAGGGTATTCTTGCTAAAAACACATTGCCTCATTTTCCACTCTCACCTGCTCACCCAGCTCCTCACTGGCAGATACTGATGAGCTGGTGGTGCCAACTTGCCATGGTGTCCATGACTCAGTGATGCTTTGGGCTGACTAATGGCCTGTGAGTTTTGGAAACTTCCCACCCAAGGCAGGCTGGCTCCTTCTTTCAGGCGTGGCATAAAGGTTGCTTCTTCTGAGGACTTCCCTGAGCACGAGCCTGGTTGGCCCTGACTGAATCTCTCTACTTATTAGACTGGATGACGGAGCACAGGTCTGGTTCCCACCTGATACTTTTCTCTGGCCGCTCTAGCTCTTTTCACTGCTCCACACTCCTGACCTAAGTATACAGTAGGAACTCAAACATCTTTGTTGAACAAGAGGGAGTGTTTCTTTCCAGGTAATGTGGGCCCTAAAAAGGATCAGGAGGCTTCTCTGATCCAGTTTCATCAGTTTACTTTGCTTCAGAAGCAAAGCCCTCCCCTCCCCCCAACAGAGCATGTAACACCCTCCCTAACTCAGTCCTCTGTCCTCAACAACATGAACTCTAAGTACCCAATGTCCTTCTCCCCCTGCCCATCTCCATTTGCTCCAGCAATTCTTCATAGCATATACCCCTGTAGAAAGCCCGATGTTTCTACCTTTGTGTCTCTGCTCATGCTTTACTTTGTCTGGAATATCTTCCCACCTACTTTCGCTTGGCTAACTCAGCACTTCCTCTTTTTCTGGGTTTCCACAACATCTTGTGCCCTTCTCACCCTTTTTCATAAGCCCTACTGCCCAGAAAAGCAACCAAGTTGTGTACCTGAGTTCCCATTACGCCATCGGCTCAGAGATGATGTATTGCTCACTTTCATATTTCTGTCACTTACTTTACTGCCTGTCACTGAGCAAACATTCAATATACACTCGGTGAGTAAAAGATAAAGAGAAGGGATGAAGCTGGCTGGCACCAGTTCAGGTTGCCATGTGTAATTTTGATGGTAGCCACCCCTGGGGGGCTAGACCAAGTGTGTTGAAGTTTTATTTAGACAAATAGGGAGGAGGGACCCAGATAAAACTGATATTAGGTTCCTTAAACACCCCAGGATCTCTCAACCACACCTCTTCTGAGCGACCAGTGCTGGCTGTCTCCCAGCAGTGTGCCTGGTGCTGAGGTTCAACCCGGAGACCCCCCTTGCCTGGCACCGCGTTGAACATCTCAGAACAGCTCTTGAGGCTGAGCTTCAAGTGGAAGGCAGGCAAGAGTGACGTTAACCTGATGTTCTTTAAACACTGTTTTAATCAGACCCAGCGGGACTAGGAGGTCGCCTCACACTTGGAGGCCTTGGACTAGATGGGGCCGGGGAACAGATGGTGACAACCTCACGCAAGTAGGGTATGTGCTTGCCCATTTAAGCCACATCTATAGTTCCATAGGGCGCTAACTCTACAGCTGATATTGTGCGGTTTAGAAGGTACGTGGGCAACAATATAGAGGCACAATAGTCCATGGTGATGTCAGGGTACAGGATGATCTCTTTATTCTAGGTATCTAATTTTCATAGAGTTTCTTATAAAATCTTCTTGTGTTTGTGTTTGGTGTCATTTTGATTTTGGTTTTGAGCTCAGGAGACTCAGTGTGGTGCCAGGGATTGAACCTGGACTGACTGCATACAAGTGTCCTAGCCCCTGTACTGTCTGGTCCCATCCTTGCAAGGTTTTGTTTGTTTGTTTTTTCCCTTTTTGCATCACACCCAGAAATGTTCAAGGATTACTCCTGGTGGTGCTCTGGGGACTATATAGGATGCTAGGGCTCAGATCTGGGTTTGGTGCGTGCAAGGCAACCGCCCTACCCACTGTACTATCATTCCATCCCCACCAAAAAAAGTCTTGCAAGGTTTTAAAAAGCAACCATGTATTACTTTTATGATGAAATATAAATGTGTGTGTACAATCAAAACAGATTTATACAGAGGTAACAGTGATAAGGAGACGAATGGATCCCTGCTCAGGCTAACATGTTCAAGGGACAGATGTCCTCAGTGTGGCAGGGCTGGCCATGGGACATCCCTGGGTGCTGTGAGGGTGAAATGAGAAAGTAGCAACTAGGGTCCCCCAAGAAACAAATTAACAAATCCCTGCTCCATCATCTTCATTGCTACCTTTCTCTTCATCCTCACCCTCCTGGAGAGAGTTCTTATGGGGAACCTTTAGCTGCTCCTTTTCCTTTAGAACCTATTGCCCAAATCCAGTGTGACCAGCAGAAACCATCTTGTGGGGCTGGAGCGATAGCACAGCGAATAGGGCGTTTGCCTCGCACGCGGCTGACCCAGGTTCAATTCCCAGCATCCCATATGGTCCCCTGAGCACTGCCAGGGGTAATTCCTGAATGCATGAGCCAGAAGTAACACCTATGTATTGCCGGGTGTAACCTAAAAAGCAACAACAACAACAACAAAAAACACCTTGCAACCTTTCTTTTCTCTATCTCCTTGGGTGGCACCTCGCAGCTCTGAGTGGTCCTGGTGAAACTTGTACCAGCCTTCTCATCCACGTTGATCCTGTTCTCCTTACCCCACGAGCCTAGAATATGAATGGGCTGGGAGTGGGAAGAGACTCACCTGTCCATAGTTCCAGGGGCAAGGCTGAATCCAGTTCTTATTACCTTGGTAGATGAAGCCATAGTCATTCACCACATACTCCTGCCTCTGGGGCTCGCTGTCCAGGTAGACAGTGTCCCCTATGAATCAAAGAGGAGGGACACAAAACACAAGAGTTCTTTGCCTTTTCTTTTTTATTCCCAGCTCCAGAAAGCACTGTGGCACAGAGGCAGAGCTCTGCATAGGATACTGCATGATGCCAGGGGAAACAAAAGGGTCCTGGAGAGGTTTGCTTTCCACACACCCCTACACCCTGACAACACCAACAATCGGTTACACATGAACAAGGCAAAATCATAGAATGGGTGTTTGGGGCATTTTGTTGTTTGCAAAAATCTATTTATGTTCTAATGCCATTGTAAGGTGGATGAAACTGTCTTAGAATGAATAACTTGCCTACATGATACATGAGGTACGAGTGAAATTTTATCTCAGAGCCCAGATGATCTCTGGCTCCTGCTCTTTCTCAGCTAAGCCTAGAAAAGAATGCTCTGAGGGACTGGCCTGCCCTCACTCTTCCTTTTGGAGAAAATTATTCTATGGAAAGATTTAGATACTATTCAATACAATATATCTAAGTGCTCTGGTATGATACAGAAAAGCAAGCAATAATCTATATATCCTGTACTAAGGAATAGGCATGTCCATCATAGAATCTCTGTGATATTAACATAAACAGGTAAAACAATATATAAAGAGAGTGGATCTTGGGATAGAAGGATAATACAAGGTTTAAGGTGCTTGCCTTGCATACTGATGACCCCACTCAGTCTCCCAAGCATTGCTGAGCACAGAACTGGGAGTGGCCCCCAAGAACTGCCATATTTGACCCCAAATCCTTCCCCGCAAAGGAATAAAGACATGGATCTACATGTGATTTAGTAATTTAAAATAAATAACATAATAATGAGTTCATTCCTAGCATCAATTAATTTTTTTATGAAAAAGGTATATGCATATATGTTTATGGTATAAAAATTATCTTTAAAAACAAATTTTTTGTGGGGAGTGCCCAAATGATCCTCAGGAAAATTTGGGCCACTGCTGGTGATACTTGGGCAACCCACATAGGTGGCTCAATGCCAGGGTTCGAGCCTCAGACTCTGTGAGGCTGGTGACCAACAGAGACACCCGGAAATGAATGGAAGCCTCCTGGGTCACACCCTGTGTTGTTCAGGGGCTTCCAGGACTACATCCACTGGTGCTCAGGGTCCATGAGGTGTTGGAGTTCAAATTTGGTTCCTTGTATATAAAAACCACGCAGCCCTGACTGCTTAGCAATTCTTTTGGCTTCCCAAATAAACTTTTTAAAAGTTATTTAACAAACAAAAGATATTGGGGCCCAGAACTTTTTTCTGTCATAACCTAGAACAATTTGAAAGCCCTACATGACCCTGAAGTAAGGGTTTCTTCCTCCCTTAGTCAGAGGTACCCTCAGACACAGCTGGAGGGTAGTCTGCCAGGGGAAAAGCTCCTATTGAGGAACATCTGAGGTTTTTGTCAGGGCTAAGAGCCACAGGACTCGGGGCTGGAGCAATAGCACAGCAGGTAGGGTGTTTGCCTTGCACGCAGCCAATCTGGGTTCGATTCCCAACATCCCATATGGTCCCCTGAGCACCGCCAGGGGTGATTCCTGAGTGCAGAGCCAGGAGTAACCTCTGTGCATCGCTGGGTGTGACCCAAAAAGAAAAAAAAAAGAGCCACAGGACTCATCCTCATGGCAGGTGCCCTCAGTGGACTAGCTATAGGACAGAGGCCCCATCCAGTATCCTGGACATGGTCTGGGACAGTTGGGAGTACTGACTTTAGTCCTTTCCTCTGTTAACTCCAGTATTGGATCTCCCTGGCACCAATAGCCAGGTAGAAGACACAAGTCTCAAAAGAAAATAGTTCCATAGATATCACTTCCTACAGCTCGTGAGTTCAGTGCAAATCTGAATCCCACTGTCATGGATTTCGCGCGCACGTGTGTGTGTGTGTGTGTGTGTGTGTGTGTGTGTGTGTGACTCAGAGAAAGGATAACTATTTTCTGTGGTCCAGTGGGGACCCTTCAACTGGGTGAGGAGTCTCAGTGACTGGACAATGGGAGTGGCAGGAATTAGTGATGGAGGGAACTAGTGGGCTTCTGGTTACTGGATTCAGGCATAGGCCAGCAGAGCCCCTGGACCTAAGGTCAGTATTCTCTCAGACCTTCCTGTTCCTTCCACCCTCCCCTTCCCCTGGGACTCCTACTGCCCTGGCATGTGGCTATGTCCAGGTCCCCACCCCGCCCCCGCTGCAGCACCATCAGACAGGACACGGCCTGTGGGCAGGTGGAACTGGGATAATGTTTATAGCTCTATTTGTGTAAGGCAGAAACGAAAACAACCAAAGGCCATAAATAGGGAGTTGGTTTCAAACATTTTATATACTCAGACAGTGAATAATTGTAGTTGTTAAAATAATGGACTGATAGAAAAAAATCTACTCAAAGTTGAACTGTTAAATAAACTGTATAATCACATGCATGCATGTATGTGTAAATACATGTTTGCTAAATTGAACATTGTTATGAGTCTACAGGAAGATGTTAACAAGATTTCCTCCAGAGACAGAATTTGGGAATTAGGATATAGCTTTATTCACACTTTGGGTCATTCCACAAATAGGTACTATCATGAATTTATTACTCTTATAATGGAAAACTTCAACATAATATGTATGATAGAGAAATGTTAACAGTGGTCAAACTTAATTGTAATAGTTCTCTTTTTAAGTACAGATGACTTGGCTGTTTATGTGAGGACTTGATTGGTGACCGGTGTACATGTGTGTATGCATGTGTGTATGGGGGGGGGGTTTCTAAAAGGCCTGAGAGATTACCACATAAATAGTAAAGGCTCCTTGGCCCTCATCGATGGCTGGGGGAGGGTGCTGGATACAGGAGACTGGAGAGGTTTGTAAGCTGAGGTTTGGAAATCTTGAGCCTGGCTCTGTGTGGCAATAACCAGGGGGGGTGGATAAGGAAACCCCACATCAGCACCCTGCCTTACCTGAACACCAGGGATTGAAGAGCAGGATGAACTCCCCAAGCTGGTAGGCCACGGTCGGCCCTTGGAAGGTATCTATGCGGACCTTCAAGCGGTACCGACCCACGGCCGCCATGGGAGGTGCGCACATGCTCACCTCCAGGGAAGTGGGACTGTTATTCTCTATTGAGGCGATCCATGGGCCCTGACGGCCTGTCAGGCTGAACATGGCCTGAGTGCCCTTGGCCAGTTCTGGCAGTGGTCCTGGGAGGAAAGCAGAGCTGAGGCTATCTCTTAGACCCTTTAGAACCCCCAGACACACACACACACACACACACACACACACACACACACACACACACACACACACTCAGACACACAGAGCCCCCCTGGTAGCAAATCAACTTTTCACCTGTCTCAACCACAAAAATGATGTTGTCCAGACCAGGCTGGAAGCCCCGGGTCCTGAAGTATAGAGTGATATTAAAGGCCTGGCCCCGGCGAACAAGGAGGCGTTCAGTGCTGATCTCTTCCGTGTGGTGGCGCAGATTGTTCCGGGAGCTCTGGAGGTCTGTCAGGGCCACCTCCAGCCCTGCAGTGGAATAACCAGGGAAAGATGAATGAACGGGGTTGTGGGGCCTAGTTTCATCCTGTCCACTGCTCACTAGCTGTGCAATCTCGAGAGAGAACTTTAACCTCTCTTCTGGGATCAAGACCCTGGCTCTTCTTCATTCAGCCATTCATTCTGGCTCACCAAGCACCACTAACACCTGTGCCCAACACCCCAGTTGCTGAGTTGCTGTGCGTACCCAGAATTAGGGCCATTCCTGGTCTTCTGGAGCTTCTGTGGAAGCACAGACCAACTCCACTGTTCTTGCAGTGTGTTAGCCAGGAAGGGCTTCATTCAGTGTGTTTGCTCATGGTCTATCTTGGCCTCCAGGCACCTGGGCTCATAACCTTTAATTAACAGTCAGCTTTTTATTCTTTTTATTCTTGGTCTAGATCCATTCAGGTATGTTCATATTCCTCTACTCCTTTCCCTTTCTGTATGTTCATGGTTCTGACCTCCTCACCTCACTCACCTCCCCTCATCAGTTTTCCGCTTTCTACCTTTCTCCACCACTCCACCACACAGCACCATTAGATTTCATTTCTGCAAGAATTTGATTGTGCCAATCTTTTGTTGTATAAGTTCTAAGATGTCTAGAACCACCATGTAAAAGAAACAACCCTTAATCTGGCACTCATGACTTCCCTGTCTTACTTTATACTTTACGTTCTCACTTCTTTCTCTACTCCCAGTATGCTCTTCTCTTCTAGGCAATCTGTCCCAAGGAAATGGTAGTCCTGTCTGCACAACATATTGTTTGGCCCTGCTATAACCCTAACACAGAATGCCCCCTCACTCACCAATTCCATCTGTCCTTCAAGACCTTTTCAAGATCCACTTCCCTCATGGGACCTGCCCTTATTTATCTAAGTTTCTTCCCATTTCCCACTTATCTACAGGACCTTCTGCATAATGCATAGGGGAAATTTGCCTTTTACTATACATTTGATAGGTTAATATCATGGTCATTTGTCATTTATATCAACTTTTTAAAAAATTAAATCCTACTTATAGTGCTTGCTGGTGCCAGGGATCAAACTGGGGTCAACTCCATGCAGGTTGACCTTAACCCCTATACTATCCTTTTGACCCTGTATTTTCTTTTTAATATATCTGTCTTCTGAAACTGGACATAAATTAATAAGAGAGAACTGGCTAGTCTATCTCAACTAAATCCTTGCTTTAAGAAGTATAAGCCCCTTTTTTAACCTGAAAAACAAATAATCTCAACAAATAATCTATCTCCAAAGACAAAGAAATTTCCTCAGAAGTTGACACTGGTGGCAGGGTTTGTGATGGAACTTTGTACATCAAAAACCCAATTATGAAGAACTTTGTAATCATGGTGCTTCAGTAAAATAAATTTTGGGGAGGGAAAAGATTCATCAAAGTCTAGCACTGTAGCACTGTCCTGTAGCACTGTCCTGTAGCACTGTCTTCCCATTTTTCATCGATTTGCTCAAGCGGACACCACTAATGTCTCCATTGTGAGACTTGTTGTTACTGTTTTTGGCATATGAATATGCCATGGGGAGATTGCCAGGCTCTGCCGTGCGGGCAGGATACTCTCGGTAGCTTGCCAGGCTCCTTGAGAGGGATGGAGGAATCAAACCCGGGTCGGCCATGTGCAAGGAAAATGCCCTACCTGCTGTGCTATGGCATCAGCCCATCAAAAAGGCTTTAAAAAAAAAAAGAAAGAAAAAGAAATTTAAAAAATTTCCTCAACCTGCAAAAGGATAACTATAAAAAAGAGAAAATCTTTTGTAAAGTAAAAATTATACTTTAGTGAAATAGTATATAGAGGATCAACTCTTCAACATTGCACTGGAGGTTTTAGCCAGTATATATTAGAAAGAAGATGTAAAATTACCTTTATATATGATGTGATCTTGAATGTAGAAAATCTTATCAAATCATGCATAAACTAATAAATTTAGAAAAATGTAGATATAATGTAAATATTAAAACTAATTGTATTTTATGTACATTTAGAAAAAATTTTAAATAAAATTAAGGAAATAATCTATTTCCAGTAACATAAGAATGAACACTGTCCTCCCGTTGTTCATCAATTTTGCTCGAGCAGGCCCAGTAGCGTCTCCATTTTGAGACTTGTTACTGTGTTTGGCACTGCTGGCAGTGTTGGGCACCATATGGGATGCCAGGGATTGAAGCTGGGTGGGCTGCATGCAAGGCAAGAGCCCTAACAATTTACTGTCTCTCCAGACCCAATTCTTTAATATTTTTAAGTTTAAATTCCCTAAGAAATATATGCATATCTAGTTGTATTAAAGCAATAATTACAAATAAAGGTTACAGACCATGGCTGTCACTCCTAACTTCACCTTCATTCCCAGAGAAACTAGTCAGGAATCTTTTGTCTACACAATATGTACACAGACATTCAATGTAATATACAGGATTCACATGCATGAATATTTCTTTGGAATATCCATGGTATCATCATATTGTACATAGCTTTCTACAGCTTGATTGCTCTTTCACCCAATAATGTGCCTTGAGTCTCTATCCATGCACTAATTACCTATCCTATGAATCTCGATGTTTTCCACTTTACACAGTATTTCATAGTATGGTCAAAGTAATTTATTTATCTAGTCTCCCACTGGTAGATATCTAGGTTGTTTCCCATTTTCCAGTTGTACGGGTAATGCTGTACATCCTTATCTGTCTCTCATGTGGGATGGTCTCTCAAGGATAAACACTGAGATTAAAATTACTTTAAAAGTTGTCCTTTAATTTCCTTCCAGCTTCCCTGATAGTTTCACCCTATCGTCTTCTCACATCCTGGAGAACACAGGCCCAATATTTAATGTAACTTCTATTTGAATGCCTTGGTGCCTGAATTGAAGAACGTTCCCTATGTTTCATAGATGGACTTGACCCAGGACTTACCTAGAGGCTGAGATTTAGTCTCAGTGCTCTCTATCAGCAGATGTTGCCACACCTGTTGAGTAGTTCTGGGTCATGTGCCCAACCTGAATCAGAGCCAATTTTCAATCTCTGTCTAGTCAGTTGGTCTCCACAGGTAGTGAGTTTTTTTCCCACCTCTAGTGAAAAGCCAAGTACTTTCCCAATTGGCAGTGAGTCGGATGTTTTTGCTGAATATAAGTGGAGACAGCAATAGGCGGCAACTGATAGTTAATTGGACTAGGAGGAGTGACCCTAGGTTTAACCTTAGGCAAGACATTTAATCTGCATGAGCCTTGTTTTTTTTCAACTCCAAGTGAGCATTTAACATGACATTTCATCCTCTCAACCTTGTAGTGAGGAGTTAATGAGATTCAATGCCAGAATTCTTAGAACAGTGCTTGGCACCCAGGAGACAGGTCCCCACTGAGGTATTGGTTGGATCTGAAATAAACACAGGGCAATTATGCAAACAAAAGAGACCTATTTAACCTAGCAAACACTTTTGAGTACCAACCATGGGTACTGATCTTTATGCTTATATTACTTTATGAGAAAATCTACCCTATGATACTAGAGCTGAGTGAAGTCAGTCCAAAGGAAAGGGATAGATATAGAATGATCTCTCATATGTGGGACTTAATAAAGATACACAGGAAGATAGCAACAAAACCCAAAGGCAACACAACAAGAGAATTGAGTTGCAGTAGGGGACTGGGGCACTTGAAGGGGAGAGACATTGAGACCCTTGTGGGAGGCAGGTGGGTATACATTGGTGATGGATATGGTATTGAAATATTCACATAGGAAACCATCAATAATAATACCGTAAATTATATTACTGCAGGGCTGGAGTGATAGCACAGCAGTAGGGCGTTTGCCTTGTGCACAGCTAGCCAGGCCCACCTGGGTTCGATTCCTCCGCCCCTCTCAGAGAGCCTGGCAAGCTACTGAGAGTATCTCGTCTGCACAGCAAAGCCTGGCAAGCTACCTGTGATGTATTCGATATGCCAAACACAGTAACAACAAGTCTCAAAATGGAGACATTACTGGGCCCGCTCGAGCAAATCGATGAACAACATCGGGAGGACAGTGACAGTGATATTACTGCAATCCACTTATTCGAAAAAGAAAATTCAAATGAGAAAACTCATCCTACTACCAATTATTCTCCCTCACCCCATCCTTGCAGCATCTGGAAAAAATTTTCCCATTCTGCATATTTTGTATAAATAACATTCAATGTGATCTTTTGCGCCTGTTTTTCTGGGGTCTTTTGTTTGCTTGTTTGGTTGGTTTTTTGCTTAGCATTGTCTTCAAATTTCAACTATAGTATAGCATATTCAGCATTCTTATTTATGACTGACTAAAAATTTCATTGGATCTTCTACATGTACTCATTCATTAATCAGCTTATGAGCATTTGAGTTATTTGCAATTTTGAATAATGCTGTTATCAACATTCTTAAAAAAGATTTTGTGTGAACATGTTTTAAATCTTTTATGTATAAACCTGAGTCATATGATAACTCTTTATGTTTAACATTTTGAGAAATTGTCAGGCTATTCTTTAGAGTGGTCACACCATTTTATGATCCCACCAAAATATATGAAATTCCATTTCTCCTCATTCTCACCATCTTTTGTTATCATTTTTCATTTTTTTAAATTACTACAGCTGTCCTAACTGGCATAAAGAGACATCTCATTTGCATTTTCCTATTGACTAGCGACGTTGGGCATCTTCTCACACATTTATTGACCTTATAAATACTTTCTTTGAAGAAATGTCTATTCAGATCAGCAACATATTTTAAGATTTGGGCTATTCTTTTCATTAGTGAATTGTATAAATTCTTTATTGTCAATATACATTCCTTATCAGACTTGACTTTCAAATAATTTATCCCATTCTATAAGTTGCCTTTTTATATTATTGATGGCGTCCTTATAAAAAGACGTTATTAGCTGTGACAAAGTGTAATGTATTTACTTTCTCCACCCATGATTACCTATTATATCTATTAAACCATTGTTTTGTCCAAAATTGCAAAGATTTACCTTTGTGTGTCTTCTAAAAGTTTTAGTTTTAGTTTTTCTGTTCAAAGCTGATTGGTTTTGAGTTTATTCTTGCAGAGACTGTGAAGTGGGGGTCCAATTGCATTCTTTTGCATATAATTAACTTGTTATCTCAGTATCATTGACAGAAAAGCTTTTCCCCCCGACTGAATTGTCTTACCACACTTCTCAAAAAAAAAAAAAAACCCTGAACATAAGTTTACTCCAGAATCTCAGTTCTAATCTATTTATTTGTATGTCAATCTTATGCAAGTACCATATTGCCTTTATTACTACATTTTTTAAAAGGCACAGTGACATACAAAGGTGTTCATAATAGAGTTTCAGGCATTCAATGCTCTAACACCAATCCCATCACCAACGGAACCTTCCATCTGACACTATCTCCGGGTTTCCCCTCCCAACTGTCATTCTGCCTCCTTGCAGGCACATTTTTTAGTTTGGTTATTGTAGTTTGGGTCTTCTGCTTATTAACTGGCATAAAGAGTGTGTTGTAGTGTGTTGGCTCTGTGGTTTAGATACAAGTACCTCTGATTACTATACTTTTTGTAGAACATTTTGAAATAGGAAATGTGGGCTCTCATGCTGTTTTTCCTTTTCTAAATTATCTTGGCTGGTTGGTTAGTTTATTGTTGGCTTTTTGTTGTTGTTGTTGTTGTTTCGGGTTTGTTGTTGTTTTTGTTGTTGTTTGGTCACACCAGGTGATGGTCAGGGATTACCTAGGGTCTGTGCTCAGAAATTACACTAGGTAAGCTCGGGGGGTCATTATGGGATGACAGGGATCTCATATGTATGGCAAACCCAAGTTGAGTGCATGCAAAGCAAACACCCTACCCACTGTACTATCACTCAGGCCCCTTATTGTTGTTTTTATTTGATTGTTAATACCTGCTCACTGACATATATTAAACAGCAGTTGGGAAGTTGGGATTTTTTATAGAAATTGATAGAAATTGAATTGATTCTCAAAAAGAATAAAAAATATAAAAAGCAAGGGCTGGAGCAATAGTACAGTGGGTAGGGCAGCTGACTTGGGTTCGATTCTCAGCATCCATATGGTCCCCTGAGCACTGCCAGGATTAATTCCTGAGTACAGAGCCAGGAGTAACTCCTGAGTATCACTGGTGTGACCCAATAAAAGCAAAAAAAAAATTTTAAAAAATAAAAAGCAAACTAACAACTAACTAAAAGCAAACTAGCAACTAAAAAAGAAATTGTGTTGATTCTTTTGGTTAGTTTGTCATCTGAATGATATTAAGGTTTCTATTTCATAAACTTGGGGTGTATTCCCATTATTTAGGTCTTTTTACATTTTTTTCATTGATCTTTTGAGAGGTAGATTTTGTGGTGCAATTTAGCATTTCTTCTGTTAAATTTAAGTTTTTTGCTAATTGCAATTTTTTTTACATATTTCATTCTTATGTTGGCTGCGTGTAAGGCAAATGCCCTACCCACTGTGCTATGGGTTGGAGCGATAGCACAGCAGCGATAGGGCGTTTGCCTTGCGCACAGCCAGCCCAGCCGAGCCGGGTTCGATTCCTCCACCCCTCTTTGAGAACCCAGCAAGCTACCAAGAGTATCTCACCCGCACAGCAAAGCCTGGCAGGCTACCCGTGACGTATTCAATATGCCAAACACAGTAACTAGTATGCCAAACACAGTAAGGAGTGTAAATAAAGTTGTGAGTATTGTGTTTGTAGAGTTTTTAGTTCATTCTTCCAAATAATTTCAAGTAACCATTTCATCTCTATAGCAATTCTTTTTAGAACAAGAGAATTGACATAGGCGAAAGGACATGATGCAAAGACTAGTTAACACGAGGGACTGACTGAAATCCAGGAAGAAAAGAAGAGAGGGAACATCTGATAATTTTAGAGCTAGAAAATAGCATCAAGAATAACCACTCCAACTCCTCTTGATTTTTAGTCAAGAAGACTAGAAAGTAGAGAAGTGGCTTAATCAATATCAGCAGGTCAGCTACTGGCAGAGAAGGACCTCGTCTATGATCCTGCCCCTGTTTCCAACCAACCCACAAGGAGACAGAAGCAAATGTGCTGGCTGTTGACCTGCCAGCCTCTCCCTTATCTCAAGGTTCTCAGACTACCAGCAGATTCTGAGATTTGGAAAGAGGTTTCTGCTCTTCCGGTCTCAAGTCTATTTTGCTCCTCTCTTCCTCTCTCCACCCTCCCTCAGGCTTTCTACAGTCTTTCTGTCTGGGAGCCTCGTGGACCTTGCCTACCTTGCGCCATGGTGTCTGCCTCAGGTTCCCGGGCTGCTTCCAGCAGAACAATTAGATGGCCCGGAGCTTCAGGAAACTGGTCCTGGAGTGTCTGCTGCTTTCCTTTCCATCCCCAAGACTCCAGGAGACACTGAAGGCGGAGCCAGCTGGCTGCTACACTGTCACCTGCTTACTGGACAGATCACAACTGGTTTTCTCACCTGCCCTCAGGTTTTTCTTGGCAGTGTTGCTTGACTGAGAGGAAGCATGGAGGCCAATGAACTGTCAGGGCCCGGTGCTATGTGAGCCTGTGAGAGCTCTTGGGCAATGGGGCATTCCCTGGCATAGGCTGTGCGATGGAGGAAGCCAGTGGGAGAGGTGAGCCGACAGTCCTACAGCGGGGTGGTGTGGAGCTGTGCTCCCGTAGGAAGGAGGATCTAGGGCCCCAGCTGAAAGGACTCTCAAGCCCAGGACTCAGCTCTAAGCCTGAGCAGATTCTTATCTTTTCAATTACTTTCTCAACATCAAATGCAAACAAACCCCACTCTGGATCACCCTGGTATAATTTGGTGGTGTTTCTCTTTTGGCAGAGGTGCTATATGGGGTGAGACCTGCCAGATCCTGGGTGGGTGGGTGGGGGGATCTTGGATAAAAGCAGTAGAGAAAAAAAACTTGAAAGATTTATGGGGGAGTTTTAGAAATAGTCAAAAGGGTAGAACGGCACCGAATAACTCTACTATAGTAGGAAAAAGACAAGACTCCAGTAAGAAAAAGACAAGTCATTGTCACTGTCCTCCCGTTGTTCATTGATTTGCTCGAGCAGGCCCAGTAATGTCTCCATTTTGAGACTTCTTGTTACTGTGTTTGGCATATCGAATACGTCACGGGTAGCTTGCCAGTCTTTGCCATGCGGGTGAGATGCCCTCAGTAGCTTGCCGGGCTCTCTGAGAGGGGCGGAGGAATCAAACTCGGGTCGGCCATGTTGGCTGTGTGCAAGGCAAATGCCCTACCCGCTGTGCTATCGCTCCAGTCCTAAGAAAAAGACAAAAAGTAAGAAAAAGACAGGACTCTAGTCAGAAAAAGACAAGAGTGAGCATGAGGGGTGAAAGGCACAGAAGAAGGAAGGAGGGATGGATTTTCATGGGAAGTGAATGGGTCAATCTACTGAGACCACCCTTATTACACACCCCACTTTCCCCATCTGTGGGACATATCTCCCTGCCTCTCTCTACTTCCTGAATTCCTCATCTTCTCTCCTCAGAAATCTCATTCATTACTTCCCTTCTTTTCTCTTATATTTTCAACCCTGTGTCTTAGTCAGTTTTAGAGTGTATGCATACATGCACATGTCTAATTCACTCCCTAACATCCCAACACCTCCTGGCAGTCCAAATTGGAAACCCCCCTCCTTCTTCTTCCATGTCTGCTCTTGGGAGTCAGGCAGTGCCCACTGAATCTCCCAGAGAAACCTGGGTGCTTTTTCACTTTTCCATCTTCCCAGCTCCCTTAGCCTGATAGTCACAGAGTTCAACTCCTGATTCTCACCTACACCAGCATACACACCCCCTCTCTGTGCCCTTGGCCCTGACCTCATTGAACTGCTTCCTCCCCTTGGCCTGGAAACTGACCACCAATTCACCCACTCTTTTCTAAATGATTAGCCAAGTAATCTTCCACCCTAACTTCCCTCCTTTCTTCCTTCCTTTCTTCCTTCCTTCTTTCCTTCCTTCCTTCCTTCCTTCCTTCCTTCCTTCCTTCCTTCCTTCCTTCCCCTAGATCACTCCCAGGGTACCAGGCAGGATACCATACCAACAATACTTAGGGCCATGCCATGTCAGGAATTGAACCACTCTGAGTAACATCCCTGGTCCTAAACTGATTTTCCTGATGTGTAATTGAAACAGGTTGGTCCCAGTTTTAGGAACAGTGGGTAATATCCAAACTTCTCAAACATTGCCCCTATATCTCTCTAAGTTCTTTTCCTTCCCACCTGGAGACTGGGTTGACCAGATCTTTCAGCTTTGAGAGAGGCTGGAGACCTGCACTTATGACCATATGTGCTCTCACGTGTGTTGTTCTCTGTGAAATGTTCTTTGTTCTCTCACTATGTTTCTTCAGCCTCCAGTTTCAAGCATTCCCCCTAGGAAGTCTTCTGGATACCCTCTCTCAGGGTTTCCCTTATGCAGTCCTCAGTATTCTTACTTATCCCCTAATATTATAAAATGCTTTGCCCTGTTCCTTGAAGGCATGGTCTGTATCTTAGCCTCTATCTGCAATGTTTAGTAATTATAGAGGCTAATAATAGTAGAGTTACTAGTAAATCCAATAACTGCTTTTAAGTTGCACTCTTTCAGTTCTTGAAGTGTGCAATGCCCCTTCATTGTCACCCCATCTCCATGAATTAAGTGCTATTATTGTTCCTGCCTTGCAGATGGGCAAGTTGAGATTTAAAGACATTAATTTCCTCCACAATAATATGCATATGGAGCCAGGTTTTGAACATAGTCAGACTCCAGAGCCCCTGAGTTGTTTTTTCGCACTTCCTGAAACACGGTCAGCTTTCCAATTTATATTTGTTAATTGATGAAGTAAATGAACTGAAAAATAATGTGTGTGTAATCAGAAAGGTAAATGTATCTGACTCCACTCCCACATTGGTTGAGATGGGTCAGTTTGAGGAAGAGAAAAGGAGCTTGGTGGGCAGGAAGGTAATTGGGAACCAGGGAGGTGGAGAGGGGGCCCAACAGCCACCCAGCAACAGCCTCTGGCTCTGGGATCCTGAGCTGGCTCCTAGGTGTAGCCTTCACCTGATTCCTGCAAATCACTGGATAGAGAGCAGGGGTGTGTGCTGGGAAGGAGAGTGCACCCACCAGAGTGAGCTCACTTGGTCCAGGGTGGGGAGACAGAGGAGATCCAGGGGGAGCTGATCAAGATTGACAAGTACCTGTGATGTCCATCAGAGAATCACAGAACAGCTCACAGGACACTCAGGTGGGAGCTGTGGATGGCCCTGTTAAGCCCATGGGGCAGGCCAGCTCTGTCAAAGTGGGGTGAGGAGCCCTCAGAGCTTTCCACAGACTAGAGACAAGAATGATAACCTTGGCCCTGCTGTAGGTTCCTAACTTGTCCTCCTGCAAGTTCCAGGTTACTTGTTAATAGAATCTGGTGACCTGTGGATGGACCTCAGGGCCATAGGGTGAATCGGGTTACAGTGGACTGTGAAGGGAAGAAATTCCTCCTTCTCAGTCTAGAAATGGAGGGGACGTGAATCACTGGATGAGAGGCCTCTGCTATGAACATCACAGTTTACAAAGCTCCATGTGTCTTAAAAAAAAAAAAGAATTAACCATTTGATTTTATTGGGTTCAACCCCAAGGATTTCTGTGAACTTCTGCATTTTCTTTTCTCCCAACTCTAGCCCTGGGAGCTGGTTTCCTGTCAACAATCCTCTAGGCCTTCCTCTTCTTCCTCTTGGAAAGCTGTTCTGCCCAGTCCTTACTGTCCCTTCTTTAGTCTGTGTCCATGGCAAGCAAACGTGTGGGTGGGCATCAGCCTGAGAATTAGTTCAAGGGTGCAGGAACAAACACCATATGCTTTGCTGTCAGGGAGGCCTGGCATACTTGGTCTCCCAGGGGACCAAGCCTAGTAGAAAGACCCAGCGGTGTGGTGTTCATGGATTTATGGAGAAAAACCAAGGACTTCAACTTGTTTCTGTGGAATTTGTCAGACATTGATGCCCTCAGTTCACACAACGACCACCTTCAGGCCCTGGTGACACTTGTGCTGTCACCAGGCTTCAGGTACCCGGACCTGCCCTTAAGCAGACACCTGGGTACCAGCACTTCAGACTCTGTCTCATTGGATCCTTATGGCGACCCTGTGAGAGAAGGTGGGCTGGTGCCCCTATAGCCACCACTTTATACCCGAGGGAGCCAGGGTCACCTGTGAGGGAACTGGAGTCACCAGTGAGGGGGTGGGGTCACCTGTGAGGGGTCTATGTGAGGAAGCCAGGACTCACCCGGAGCTCCTTGTTTCATGTCACACAGTAACACCGCAACACTGCATGAACCCCAAAGTTACCAGCCAAAGAACAGGAGGACAGTGGTCTCCTTAGATGCTGCTCAGGTGACAGGGAGAGCAGCTATCAGGAGCCTGGTGCTGGCCTGGTCTGGACCCTCTTCTTGCTACACAATCTCACCCATTTTCTTACCAGAGCTGTCCTGTGGGGTCTCCTGCCTGGCCTGTTCCCTGGTGCATGACCAAGGGTTGTGAGGATGAGAAGCATGGCCCCTGGGACCCTGCTTGTCTCAGGGCGCTCCCTCACTGTGGGCATAAGCGCTGGCTCCCCAGGTACGTAGAATGGGAGCTGGGAGGGAGCTCTGCCATGGGGAGAAGGAGCCAGACAGGTTTCTTCATGTGAAAACAACAATAAGAAAAGTGGTTAGTTTGGGGAGTTGATGTGTAGGTGGGGAGGGAGGGAATTTTAGAAAGATGACCAGGAAGGCAGAGCCCCAGTGGGAGTCTTCTGTTCCCCCAAATGGCCAGAAGTTGAGACCATGACATAACCAACGCAGGAGCGTGCAAAGGTTCAAGTCTTCTGCAGGCGGGCTTGGAGTCACCCAGAGCAGTGACAAAGCAGGGACAAGCAGGGACAAAACCCCATAGAAATGGCACCTCCTGGGCCGGGCACAGCTGGTCCACTGGGTGGAGTATGTGTGCCACTCCTGCTTTTCCTGCCCAGAGCAGTTTGTGTGAAAGCAAAACAAGTGACAGAGGAGGCGGGGAGGGCAGAGGTGGCGGGGCACAGGGATGAGGCTGCAGAGAACTGGTCAGACATGTGCCCAAACCACGCAGCAAGTCACTTCCCACCTGCGCTTCTGGATCGTCTCAACTTCCCATGTTAGAGAGGTCTCTACGTGTGGTGCGGGAGCCATTAGCACAGTGAGTAGGGATCTGCCTTGTATGGGCTGACCTGGATTTGGTTCTGGCATTTCATATGGCCCCCACAAGCACCATCACAGGGATCCCCGA